ACAAGGAGCAAAGAACAGTTAGAAACAAGAGGCTTTTCGGTTTCTGTAGCTTATCTGGGCAAGTTAGAGTAGGACAGGATTGTGCTGAATACATTGCTCGGGAGCTGTAGTGCCAGGTTGTCAGGAGTCGTTATTTGGCAGCAATGAGGGTTGAGGCTGGGCTCAAGGCATACAGAAAATCAGATCTTGTTCCAGTGCTTGGCCATCTTGCTCCCAGGGTGATACGCCGGCACAGCTGTCAGTCAGGGTGAGTTTCTCTGCGCCAGCTTCTGCATGAAAAATGGAGATCCTCAGCTGAGATCCTAGCTCAAGTGTCGGGTTGAAAATGAGATTTATCAGGTTCAAATCGGTCCCTTTTACTGGCCTAGAACAAAGTTCTTTTTTTTCCTACCTAGACTGCCCAGTTTTTCTGAAGCAGACCTGCAGAGTACGTGGTTCACTTCCTTGAAAATTGTACTCGAGAATGGGACAGTAAACAAAGCAGTTGCTAGTGCATTACAGATTGGGAAATGGCATTTTCTTTTGTCTGAGACGACGACAAGCTCTGAGCTGCTCGAGGGGGCTTTTTCATTTCTCAGCTGGGCTGTGGAGTGATTACTTATCCTCCTGTCGGAGAGGGAGAGAAGCATGCCGAGCTGCCTGCAGGGAGACATCAGTTAGAAGAGGAAGCTGGTGATTTTTAACCAATTGTCCTTTTCCTCAGACATCTTCGTCCTTAGTAATACAGATTTGGAGGCGTATGGAGGCCTTTCCACTGTCAACATTAGCTATTTGACTAATCCAGTATTTCTCTGGAAAAAAAAAGGGAAAAAAAGGTTATTTAACTGGCCCAACAGGCCAGTGTTGGCCTCGGTGATGGTGTTTCACCAGAGGCTAGACCCCTTCAAACCCTTCTGAATAGCAGGTGTCATTGCTGTTTTGTTCCCCTCAAGCTGTGGCCTGCTCTCAGGCTATCTGTCACCTGATGCCCTCCTGCTTCAGGAAGTGAGAGGTCCCTGCGGGGTTTGTTACCTGCTGTTGCAGTCTGAGACAGGGAGTGTGTGTGTGTGTGTTTAAGCGGAGGGCGGAGGGACTGAGAGGCTGAGTTGTGGCAGACTTGTCTTCAGGGCTGCCGGTGAGGCCTGCTCTCACTCTCTCACCTGAGAGAAAAGACCGTTCTGGGACCAGAGTGGCACCGATCCACAGTGCTGACCGCCTGCACGCTGCTTGACCACGCTGTCCTCCATGTCTGTAGGGATTCCTGATCACTGAAGCGCTGAAGTGGCGTGTCATTTGGTGACCTGAGGATGATTACATAGGGCGGGAGGAAAGCCCAAAATTGGCAAAAGCAAATGTGCCAAAGGCTAAACACAGGCTTTGTGTCAGGATTACTTTTTTTTAATACTCCGTTGATTTTAGTGGCTAAACAAATGGGTGTATCTGATTTTTTTTCTTTTAGTTGGCTACAGGAATTGTTTGGAAGCTGTGATTTCTGCAAGTGGAGGTGTTACTCAGTACTGACTGACAGGGTGCCCAGACTTTTGCATATTCATTACATAGTTTTGAACATCTACAAAACCGTAAATAAATAATAATTGTGCATTAAAATTTGCAGAAAGATGTCACATGAGCACTGCAATGTACATTTTGGCCTAAACATTTGCACACAACAGTTTTTCAACATAGTCAGGTGCTCACTACACCTTTCCTTAACCTCCTGTGTGGAAACAGTTCAGAGCTAATTCAACGTGTTCAGTGCTCAATATGCTCTCCCTAGTTAGGTAAGAATGAGATTTTTCCAGTAAGTTAGCCATACAGCTCAGTACAACCTTATGTCAATGTGTTTGTAGGCAGCCCGGTTGAGTAGTGTTTAGGACTCTTTAATTTGGCTGGACTTTTTGTGGATTTCGGACCCCGGAACAAAATTTATCAGAGGATTGTATCCAGCTGTTTTTTAAAGCATCAGCTTCAGCAAAGATTTTTGGCAGCTTGTTCCAGACATCGGCAACCGTTTGTGTAAATGAGTGCCTCCTGTTTTCAGATTTAGCAGCTCTCTATCTTAGTGTTTGTTTGTCTCCTTTGGTTTAAGCTTCTCTGTTGATACTGAATAAGCCTATTGGGTTGACTGTGTCAGGGCCTTTCAGGGTTTTGAATACCCATGTCCCCTTCATCGTCTTTTCTGTTCAAGATGATTCAGCTTCCAGCCTGTCAGTATAGAATAAACTCGGGAATATGCCAGATTGTTCTTCTTTGGACCAATTGCAGTAGTGTCTTTTTGTGGAGCAGGGTAGCCAAGACTGTATACCATAGTCTATGTAACACCTGAAAACAAGGTGTAATTTTATAAAAGCTTCTGTGTCCTTGCACTGTCCTGCATTTTGAAACTTAGAAAATTACATCAGTATAGAAGAATCTGCACTGTGCTGTGTGCGTCTTCTGGGCATTCCTCGCTCCAGTGCCCTGTATATGTTCTGATAGATCTGGAGCAAACTCTTCCTCTTGGGTCTCAGGTTGCTTTAAGACCTTTGGTAGAATGGGCATCCTGATGGTCACAAAGCATTCTGGATAGATTCAGCATCTTCATCTTCTGTGTTTTAGAAGGTAAGAGGTGGAGGAAAGAGCAAGAGATTTGAGGACAAGAAAGGTAAATATCGCCCTCTAGTGGTGACTGGTGAGCTCTACAGACAGTTCCAGACAGGGAAGGACTACACTTTTAGAATGAAGAAACCAAAATAGCTCATTGCCTTTTCACAGCTCACCGTTCCAGGGAGGGTGGGGGGAGCTGGTGGCTGGGGCCTCTTATAGTTAGGGGCTAGAGCACCTTTCAGTTTTGCCACAATCCAGATGGTGGCGCAAGATCACAGACTTGGGCACGCAGTGCTGTAGTTTCCCTCTTGCCACTGCCCCAAGCCGTGACCCAGGACAACAGTGGTGCTATTTCGTCTTGACCTGTAGGGTTAAAGTGTCAGAACCTGCAGCAGCTGAGGTCTAGGAATTGAATAGAGTTTTGCCCCACAGTAAATCTTCATCTTGAGCACCGTGATCAGTGTGATTTAGTGCAGTTTTCTGTACCAGATAAATCTCCACCTTGTCTCTGCGAATGTGGCCTTGCCTGAGTTGGCTTTAGTGGCATCACCAGACACCTGTGTTGCTCATGGTGTGTGTGAGAGTACTATAGGGAAGGGCTGAGGTCAATTTATTTGCTTTCTATCTTTTCCGGACCTGCTGGGCTTCACCGATGTTCTCAGAAGAGCGTATCCGAGTTACATCAGAAAAGGGACTGAACTGTAGAGAATTGTGCTTGAGAACAAACTTGTTAAGCGGCCTGTGTAACAACACCGATTGATCCTTGAAAAGCTAAACTAACCTTTTTCAGTGAGACTTTTAAAAAGTCCTCGATTGGGATGCTATATCTGGATGTCCTGAACAGGAGGATCTTTGAGAATCCTTTTAGATGCGTCTCCTGGTACTATATGCAGTTGCTTAGGCACTTAAGCAGTTACTGTTTCTGGTTTTCCATCTTATTATTGCTTGCTTTCACCTCGCCTTCTGCACAGTTCTTTTTTTCCCTTACAGTGTTGTGGTGGGCATGGTTCAAATCTCCTATCTAAAAGTTCTGCTTCTAAGCCAAAGAGTAAGTGTATTCAAAATGATCGCTACCTAGTTTTGAATTGGAAAGTGCAAAGAGAGTTCAGAGCTGAGGTCATCACTTACTGTGTGTGTGCGCCTAGCCGAGATCACGGTGGAGCTGTATAACCGTGCTTTTCTTTCCTGTGTCTCTTGCTGATGGGAATTACTGCCGGTGCTTGCCAAAGGTTTTCTGATCCTGGTTTCCCTGGCAGTGTCCTTGCAAAGGTGCCAGCCTTCTGCTGCACTCCCACCCCATGCCTCTCTTCATCCTACAGCTTATTCCCAAATCCCGGGAATGACAGCAGTGCTGCTGATTTCCAGCCCGGAGGAACACCAAAGTACTGGATCCAGCTTCCGGTCTTTATCTGCAACGTCTACGGTGTTTTGCACTGCAGATAAGCCGCTCACTAATTTTGCAATCGGGTCAGGGCCCCCATCAGTGTGCGGTTTGTCACTGTGGGGAGTTCCGTCTATCCAGAGGTTAAAGCAAAGGCAACTAATTATTAGCTAAACGAACCACTGCAGAATTCTAAAGAAATGCTGAACTGCTGGCTGACATAAAAACTTAGATTGGAAGTGATCTCCCAGATTCCAGTGCTGTTGTGCTCATTAAACACCATCACCTGCAGGGCATGTTAGCTATTCTCATACTGTATGTTGCTTTTGCACAGTTTTGCAATTTGGGTTCCAAACTTTGAGAGGTTTCTAAAACTGGAAAGGCACACTTGACGTTGTCTGTGCACTTTAAGAAGCTAACCTTTGCGAGAGGTAGCGTGACCCGACGAGCGTGATCTGAGTGACTAGATAATTGCACATGAGCCTCTAGGGTTTGTTTCCACCCCTCGCTCTCGTTCTGCGGTCGGCACAGACCAGTGCGTTCATTCATTCAGCAGCAGCTCGATATTTTGATCTTTGTTTCTCGGGGATGAAAAATGTGATTACAACTGAAAATAATTATTATGGGCTGTACAGTAGAATGGTGTTTATGTAGCCTCACAGCACTTGAGTCCTGGCATTGATTCTTTCCCACAGTACCTTCTGTGTGGAGTTTGCATGTTCTTCCTGTCTCTGCATGGGTTTTCTCTGGGTGCTCCAGTTTCCTCCCGCCTTCTAACAACCTGCGGGCGGGGTTATTAATGCCTGTGTGAGTCAGTAATGGACTGGTATCTTGTGTAGGGTATAGCCCCTACCCCCACTGCTTCTGGAATAGTGTCACAGCAACCCTTCTAGGAAGAAGTATCTGTCCGATGAGTGTTATTGTCATCATGATGATGTGCGTTTGTTCAACTCCATCACAGAGGCGTGCAGCTCTAGGCCGACGGCGATAGCTGATCTCTTCCTCCTCCTTTTGTTTCCTTTGTGCCGTCCCCGCGCCCCCCCCCCCCCCCCAGAACAACGACAACGAGACAGCCTTGCACTGCGCGGCCCAGTACGGCCACTCGGAGGTGGTGCGCCTCCTGCTGGAGGAGCTGACCGACCCCACCATGAGGAACAACAAGTTCGAGACGCCCCTGGACCTGGCCGCCCTGTACGGCCGGCTGGAGGTGGTCAAGCTGCTGCTCAACGCCCACCCCAACCTGCTGAGCTGCAACACCAAGAAGCACACCCCCCTGCACCTGGCGGCCCGCAACGGCCACCTGGCCGTGGTGGAGGTGCTCCTGGACGCCGGCATGGACATCAACTACCAGGTGAGGGGGGCGCGCGGTGAGGTCAGTGGGGACAGAATGAGGAGTTCCTGTATCCCACACTCATTCAGACTGCTCGGTAAAGGAGTACTGGTCTGTGGGCCAGCGCAGGCAGTGGATTGGTGCTAAAATGAAGGGGGTTTGTATAATTAAAGGGGCTTATGGATGATTGTGGGGGAGTAAACTTCCAAGTTCTCATAAGTTGTAGGAGTGGTGCTGAAGATGTGTGTGTGTGTGTTGATATCCTTTATGTAATATTTATTGTAATTTTTTCATGTACGGTTTGTATGTTCTTTGTAAGTCACTGCTCTGACACAAGGCAGGTTTCCGGGAAATCAGACAGTGAAGTATTATCGCGTCGTATTTCTCCCGTCCTGTGCTCCCCTGCCCTCTTCCACGTTCTTAACGGCTCTGTTTTCCAGACGGAGAAGGGGAGCGCTCTGCACGAGGCCGCGCTCTTCGGGAAGAAGGACGTCGTGCAGAAGCTCCTGAGCGCAGGTCGGCCTATCTTCTAGTTTTTTTTTTGCTGCCTTGTTTTAACATGGTTTTAAAAATAATAATGGCTTACACTCATATAGCGCTTTCCTGGACACTCCACTCAAAGCGCTTTACAGGTAATGGGGACTCCCCTCCACCACCACCAATGTGCAGCCCCACCTGGATGATGTGACAGCAGCCATAGTGACCAGTACCCTCACCACACATCAGCTATCAGTGGGGAGGAGAACAGAGTGATGAAGCCAGTTCAGAGATGGGGATTAATCAGAGATGTGGCAAATTTGGCCAGGACGCCAGGGTAACACCTGGAATATTTAATGACCACAGAGAGTCGGGACCTCGGTTTTAAGTCTCATACGGAGAACGACGACTTTTTACATTATCACTTTCCTGTCACTAAACTGGGGCATAAGAACCCACACAGACCACGGGGTGAGCGTCCCCTACTGGCCCTCACTAACACCTCTTCCAGCAGGAACCTTTCCCAGGAGGTCCCCCAT